CCAGCAATGGTGGGCAGCTTTTGGGAACAGTATTACAAATTGATTGTGGGGAGGTTAAAACCTCCACTAATTTTAGTCTTTAGATTAATTGGATTTTTAAATTTTACCTACACGATGCAACAGAATTACTACAAAGTGCAGTAAAGTAATAGCTCTTCTCACTGTTTCACTCTGATTTAAATGTGCCCTCATTTCATTCTGTCCTTTTTGACCTTTGACCTGGCTGTAATCCCTTTAATCCTCTCTCCATCGCCTCATTCTCATGCTCAAAGTGTGTGCTTAGTCTAAAGCATTGTGTTTTATCAGGTAAGTGAAATATTCAAACTAATTTCTGTGTAAGTGTCACTGTAGCTTCATCCCTTTTCCATAGACTGCTGTTGTGTAGTTTAATCTGTTATATTTGATAAGGTATTCACATATTTCATACATTGTGTTCAAACTAGATAACAAGTAAATGTATCTGTACTTTTTCTGAATGTATAATAATATAGTAGGAAACTGAATTACCCAGTAAAATCAGGTGCTTTTAGAGTTCCACATGTACAAGATTAATAGAACAATCAGCATATTCTAGACTACATATGCAACAGTTTAAGGAGACAATTTTTGATTGATATAATTTCATTATTTAGAGAATTTTTTTAAGTAGCCCCTTTGTGGCCCCTACAATTTGTAGTGAAACTTAAAAAGGTAAAAGTTGTGCCTGATGTTTCTGGTTTGTTTTGCACTTGTCACAGTTTGCGCATGTTTACATCAAAGTTAAGAGAACCCACTGTGCAAACTGGCAGTGACCACAGCAATTTGTTAGCGACCAAATCAATCAAATGAAGGTTTTTAACCAGGAAACTCCAGAACCAGTTACCTACCAGTTGGAGACTACACTTTTTTCCCTAGCAGCCAGACATTAACAGCTAACAGGACTAGGTCTGAATGAGTAAGGTCTGATTTATTTTCTCAAAGACATTTTTTTCAGGTTTTCTCAAATCCAAAAATTCACTTAATACAACCTGATGTTAAAGGCATACTTTTTTGGAGCGTTTGGCTAACAAGCTGTTATTTTGTGAACATCTCTGTTTGTCAGTCAGTAACACTTCCCGTTTCTGATTCTTGGTTTACACTAACACACTTCTAGTCCATTTGAAAGTGGCTACATTGTTTCATTTTCTACAGTGTAGCAACCTAATACAAATACATATTACTCATCCTACCTATGTAGCTGAGCAGATAAATAAGCTACATCATAGCAGACCACAAGGTTAGTTACTTTTAAACACACACAGGCCCCTCCCACGTCCCTCTGTCGCTGCACAGCACTGTAACAAGATTAATTGCCAAAGGTAATCCAAAAATCTCAGGCTTAACCAAATTAAGGACAGTTTGCCTCTCCGGGGTTCCTCCCCTTTCTCCGCCCACACTGTCACCACTTCTCCTTCACTCCTCCTCCCTCTGTTGTCTCCATCTGTCTGTGATTAGTCCTTTAGATACATGTCTCCCTGCTGATATGCACTACTGCACACGGAGAGGCTCATAGGCAACATATTTCAATAATGAGATCTGGTTCAGCTGGCAAGCTTTGTTACAATGACCCTTACAGCCCCCTGATTGTATAAGCAGAGGATTAGAGAGGGAGACCGAAGCATGTTTGTGTGTCTGTGTTTGTGCATGCAGATAGATACATAGAATAATTCACTGTATGTGTATTTTGAATGGATTTGCACACCGCACATTGCTGTTAACACTAAACTGCATCAAAAAGAGGTTAAAACATATTTACACACAAAAATATAAAAAACATGTGAGTCAAAGTAAAATACAATTAAATTATTTCAATTGCAAATAAATGAATGCTTCATTTTATTTTTTTACAGGATGGGATCATCAGTGTATAACATATTAGTTTAAATCAAATAAATGTCTCAGTAGGTATAAGCCTCAGATGGTATAGTGAGGATCCTGGATAATAGCAAGCATCATACTATGTATCATATTACTGTTTATGCCACAGGAAGGTGTGTTAAATAACCACCTGTTTGGAGGGATTTAGAACACCCCAAAACCTTTGGATGATAATTGCACATGTTTTCTGGGTCACAGCAGCTTTAAGCTGGGCTCCACCCAAAGTCAGAATCCTGGTCAGTAATGTGTGTGTCTGTCCAGAATTTAAAGCTTGGAGAAACACAGTCCACCCAAATCACACGTCAGAAGACTGAAATTCAGTTGAAAGATTATTAATGTGAACCAACTCTTGAAGAGAAAGGATGCCCCACACACAATAGTAGCAACGGTTTCTTTTTCCTGTTTTGTTAAGAAAACTCGTGTTACAAACAAAGAAACCTGAATCTCAGAGTTTGTCAAACATGACAATAGCCAGTAAAGTGTGTTGATATTCTGCATCAGCCTCACATTCTCATGTTCTTTAATTGCAGTGTTGTATAACTGAGTAAAAGGACCCTATTGTGACTGACACTGTATAAATGGTATTCATAGCAAGAGTGCTTGTTTTAGCATAGAATAAACTGGAAAGGAGACAATTCCAGCTGACACAAAATGCAGCAGACATGTGAATCAGCACTTTGTTTTTCATTTTATGCACTAACTTGTTCCTATGATTAAAAACTCAAAACTCAAAAATGTTTGCACATTACTGTAAAATCTGCACTTTGTGAAAGTGCTGCCAAGAGGAAGACAGCTTAGAAAGGTGTTCAGCGTATACAGGTTACTAGCTATGATGTAATAATCAGATTTGTGTTATGGTTAAAGAGTAAATCATGCATACCATTCAGCACATCAACCTTTCATATAGGACTTGCAGTTTAAGCTGCATTAGTCTTCTTAAAGTTGCTCTGTATCTGCAAGCCCCTTTGCTACCCATCTCCATCTCACCTTGATAATGAGGTAATATTTTGTATCTGGGTTGTTCATATTATCACATCTTGGATACAAAAAACCCCAAAAGGATAAAAATGCACTTTGTAAAACATCAAAGATGCACTTTTCTGTAGTTTGTCTTCAGAACATCATCGTTTCACCTCATCGATCTGGAAACGCGCTGGATACTCTGGTGATCGGCGCTGTTGGAGGAACTACAGATTGTGGATATTCCTTGCCAATACATTGTCTTTCATAAAGGAGCACAAGGTGACTCACAGCTGGGGCTCTACTGCTGTTTTTAACAGCAGCTCTGTGGATGGCATTTATTGCCTGCTGGCTGGTTCATCATTTTATTTACAAGGAAACATCTCAAAAGCTATTTTTGAAATGTTGCACCTCAGAGTTTACAGAGCTGACGTATACAAGCTTCAGTGAGCCATCAGATCATCCAACATGCCTCCACCAAATACTTGGATTGATTAATCAAATAGACTTATTGATGTCTAAACCCCACTTCTTCCTGTTAGTAGATGGAAAATGAACCAACAAAAAAAGCAAGGTTCACCTCTAATACAGCAGCCCATAGCTGCCAACCATGACAAAACAGATCCTTTTTGTGGAATAGATTAGCTTATCAAAACAAAGTTACTGGAAAAAGTCATCTGCACTTACAGTAGCCCTGACAGGAAAGAAGCAAACCTTTAACCTCCATAACAAACAGAGATGTTACAGGCGAATACAGCAGGTGACTTCACGTGATCACAGACACTAGAAATAGAGGTGGATTCCTATAATCCACTTAAACTAATCTTTGCCACCTTAGGAATCCTACACTATGTATCATCAAATGTATTTTCCAAGAGGGAACTTTCTCACTGCTCAAAAACAATCGATACTCAATAACTGAAGGGTGCAAATTAATGTCTACATGGTTATATCTCAAGAAATTTACAGCATGACTGTAATATGCTTATAAATACACAGACGTGTACAAAAGCAGGGAGGTATTAACTGTAAATAAGACCTGAAATAAGACACTAATAGATACAAAGCTTGATACTTTATATCTACGGTATAGACAATATTAATGTCAACAGTTTGATTAAATGTATATTTTATATGCATTATATACCTAAAGTAAAACATGATACAGTGAAAATAAAAGAGGAAAAGCATAACTCACATGATGTAACCTCAGTCCGTCTTGTGTCTTTTTCTGTTATTACTTTCTGCATCCAAATGTTCTCCACCATAAATCCTCCACCACTGATTAAAGAGAAGCTGGTGTGCACGACTCGCTCTCTCTCTCACCCCCTCTGCACTAATCCTTGCAGTATCCCTCACTGCCAGCTACTAACTAATCACCTAGTTTAGTTCTGTGTTTTGATCTGCATTTCATTGCTAAGATCATTCATATAATACAGAAACACCTTTAAAGCTACTTTTGTAATCAAATTAAAATCAAATGGTTCATAAAGGTTCATTAACACAGTGACACTTTATTTTTTAAACTAGCAGAGAGGAAACATACAAACATACAATCACTATAGTGATGATGCTATGATACATTATATTGCAACAAACACTCTAATCTATCAAATATATACAATTGTGGGTAAAACATTTGTATATAGCAATTAGATGTTGGCACTGACAGAGCCCTAGACAATGTCTGTGCAAAGTTTCATCATGATTGGTCGACTCATCTAGGAGGAGATGAATGGGGTCAAGCTGGTAATTACATGCAATATGTTTCTGATAATACGGCAACTAACAGTAATAAATTGTAAATCACCGATCTGTCTATATAGAGAGAAAAACCCATTTCACAGAAATTCATAGTTAACTTTTACATTTGCACTCAGTAACCTAGTAACAAAGGAATATAACCTGAAGTTGAGTTGTGCTCACTGATAAAGCCTCATTCAAACTGATGGAATCGTTGTAGCAGTTAGTCTGCATTTATAAATTGGAGAGCAATTATTTGAAACCTTCACGAATCTCTCTCTGAGTGACTGCAGTCAGTCCAAGTCCGACTGCAGCTGTTTGCAGAAAGGTTGCCTCCTATAAGGTGAGATGAGCCCCCCTTATACACATTGCAATTTGCATTTGCAATATGTTGTTGGCCTTTACTCTAGGGTTCTGTCTTTCTTGGTGCTGTAGAAATACACTCTTTGCATGTCGTCCCCAGCACCTAATGAACGGAGAGTAGAGTAATTAATCCCCAGAAACACGATACTGTGAGGAATCACAAGTGTACAATAAATCGCAGAATGCATTACAGTGGTATAAGCCCAACCTAATTGGCAAATGAAGTTGAGTTGTTTCCCACAATGGATGTCCTTCCACTGGAAGTCCTCTGTGCTGCCCATGCCGCCACAGGTGTTCGAATAATAGCGAGGGACCCAATTTTGTGGCCAATGGAAGAAATTCATGGAATGTCCAGACATCCAGAACCAGTCACTTCCTCTTAGTGACCTGTTGGACAGAGTGAACAAAATGCTGCTGTTTATGTTACCTGTGGATGTTTAAAAGCTTTTTCTCTTTTTTCCACAATTATATGATGCAGATTTATCTTTATGATGTTAAATGGGGCCAAAAACCTAAAACCAACCATTCATCCATTTTCTTCCTCCTACCAAGTTCAGGGTTATTATGAACTAACTGCACTCCTGTGACCCTCGGTTAGATAAGTGGTGCTCTGTTGGTAACTTTGTGTGTTCTCTATCTTCTTTTAAACCTTTCCTAGTCAGTTTGAGTCATTGTGTACATTGTTTGCATTGCTTTGTGGTGATATTTTTATTTGATGTGGTTACTTCTTCTTCTGTCTCTTTGTGGTCATTTCACATTTCTAATCATTGGATAGATTTCTTTTTACATTGCAACTGGACATGAACAACATCTCATTCATATTATGTCCTGTTCATTCATTGAGGTGTTAAGAGCATTTACATGATAAGCACAGTACCTGCGCAGCCCCAGCCAGATGTAGTCTGTGAGGGTGAAGGGAAGGCTGCCCAGCAGCTGCTCCAACTCGTCTTGCTCCTGTTGGCTGTGAAGGCTGAGCAGGTCCCAGTGATAATGTCTACAGTACATCAGAGCATCAGACCAGCAAAGCCTCTTTCCCACAACCATCACATTCCTTTTGCCCAGCAGCACGCTCACAGTGGGAGGAGATGGTGGAGGAGTTGGTGGAGGAGTGACAGCTTTGGGGGCTGAAAAGAAAAATCTTGACAGGTTGCGTTTGTTCCAACCATGTTTGGTTGTTTTCATTTTGTTTTAACAGGCTGAATTGTGAGGTTGCTTTCAGCTCCAAATTAAAACATGAATACTGAGAGGTGGAAAGCAATATAGAGACAATATAGAAAGCAACAGCAAGCACATGCAACCACAACATATGGTGCTAGAAACAAACACACCACGGCCATACCAGAGAGAGAAGCAAACACCTCCACTTCACACATCGTCAGTATTTTCTGAGGTCCTGGTAAGAACACAGTGATGTAGCGACCTTCCATTTCATTACACTGGAATGTGTGTGTTGGGGAACTCCCTAATGAATTGATAGTGCCACACCTGATAGATTTACACAAACATCAAACTTATTTTATCTACAAAAGAAAATGTTTTGGCTAAACAATAATGTGCTGTTGTTTAAATGAGAAAAATAAAATCATAAATATTTATGGAGAAATCGTGTCCTACATGGAGTTTTTAATTCCATTTTGATCCAGTGAGTTCCCAATCAAGATCTGCGCCCCAATAAGCCTGTAAGCTGTACTCCCGACTCTGTTGATGATGGTGACAGCAGTGACCTTATGGAGACCCAACAAGTCTATGTGCCACCAGGGCGAGTCCTCTGTTGGTGAAGTGTGGGTACAGCATCCTTGTGGCACTTGTCCATTTCTGCATCCATCGACAGCTTTTGAGGCCCAATATTCTGTCCCAGACCAAGTCGATGACTGTACTGTTTCTTTGTTTAAGGCCACATTTGGAAGCGGTTCCACTGAGTATCGAAAAGAACAAACAGACATGAGTCATTATCAGGCAGGTGTGTTTCAGTAGATCAGATTCACTCACTAAAAGCTCTACCTCGGGCAGCATACACCTCCACTTCACACAGGGTGAGAGTTTTCTTCTGTCCAGGAAGAAACAGGTTCACAAAGCGACCCTCCATGCTGCCTCCGTCACACTGGTATGTGTAGGTTTTACCCACTTTTATGTGGGAGATGGAAGCACACCTGACAGACGAATATATGCAGACAATATTCTGTTAATATGGATTTTCCCAAAGTTGGATAGCATGTATCTCTTAATTTCATTTCATAATGAAAATTGAATTCTCATCATTACTTGGGATTATTGTTTCCATTGTTCTCCAGTGAGTTCCCTATTCGGATCTCAGCTCCATCCAGTCTTTCAGCACAGCAATCTCCTCTGTTGGTGACTTTTACAGTAGTGATTGTAAAGCTGTGCTGCAGGTCTACCCGCCACCAGGGGTCGGTCTCGTCTTCAGCAGTGTGGCTGCAGAACCCATTGGTATAGAACGAGTTCCGTCTACCGTCGATGGCTTTGGATGCAGCAGCAAAAGAGAGCGTAGATGACTGAGTAGCTTCTCCTTTAAGTGCTAAATTGGGTGATGGGTATCCTTGAAAGAAAACCAGGAAAAGTCGGTTTCTGCAGAAGGTGCACTGTGCAGTTATTTTAAAGGTCACACTTAATTTTCATAACATTTTCTGAGTTTCAGAGTCTATGAAATACCAGACGTCTGCATCAGCATCAGACTGAAATGTGATTACCATAGTACACTTCAACCTCACAGAGACTTAGGATCTTCTTGCTTCCAGGGAGAAACACTGTGACGTATTGTCCTTCAAAAGACCTGCAGGGAAAGTAAAATGTCTGTCCACTGGGAAAGTGAGAGATCACAGCACACCTGTGTATGCAAGAGCCCAAAAAAAACAGAAAGAAAGTGAAGGAATAAATCTTATTCACATAATTATTTCATTATTTGGGGCTTTATCAAGTGTTTTCACCTCATGCTTTCATGGTCATTGATCTCTGTTGACTTTCCAATCCAAATTTCAGCACCATCCAGCCCGTTTTCTAGTTCTACTGTACTGGTAATTAGTACAGTGCCGATTGTGTACACTTTCTTCAGGTCTACCCTCCACCAGGGATCAGATTGTGAGGTGGTAAGTGTGCAGGACCCTCTTTGATAGCTCGAGTCTCTGATGCCATCAACTGCCTTGTCAGCAAAACCCAGGCTGTCATTGTTTGAGGACTGTACAGCATTCTGATTCAGTGCCAGGTTTTGGAGGAGATGACCTTAATAAGAAAAAAACTGTAGTAATTAGTCAAATTAATAGATTACTCTGGGAGTCGAGGGTGGTGGGAAGGGGTGTTGGAGCAGGGTTGTACCTGTTGGTGCACCAGATTCCATCAAGAAGAAAATACCTGTTAACATAAAGTATTTAAAGAGCTTTAGTTTTTCTCCCTTTTAAAGACTATATAAACAGCAGAGGTGGGAGGATCGATCCAAATATCTATAGTGTCGATTGACATCAGATTGATACTAGCACAACAGATTCAGTGTCAATAACAGATGTTGAACAAAAGTTCTTTAGAGACAGGCACATTCTAGGCCTCCAAAAAATACATGAAAAGTTTAACAATATGTTTTATTGGTAGACGGTTATTGTGGAAAGTAAAAATCACAGTGATTCAGTGGTCGTTAAAATGTGTTCTGAATTTGCGTCTTAATGACGAATCATGACATACCACTCTCCCCTACGTGAGCTGCTTTAATAGGTTAACAGCATTCTCAAAGACATCACTGCTGAAAAAGATGTCATCAATACTTTAAATAATAAAAGGTAAGCAAAATATAAAATAAGAATAATAATTATAATAATAAAATACTTACATCTTACAATGTGGACTTGGTAATATGCTTAGTGTTTTTGGTCAATAACCAAATTCTGCAAAACACTCAACCCTACAACTTGCATTATTTTGCATTACTTTGCATTATTTATCTCATTTGCTGAGTTTTGTTTGCAATGTGAAAGATGACGACACAACTGTTTATAAAAGTGCCAAAAAAAAGAGAAAGATAATGAAAAAAGTCTTCTTCACATAACAACTGTAGAATGATTATTTCACCCGATGCGGTTTTTTGTTGAAATTGGGATTCAGATTTCAGCATTATCCAGCACATTTTCTAATTCTGCTCTATTTGTTATCATTTCAACATCAAGTCCCTCCACCTGCGGTTGGACTGTAATGTGGTAAGTCTGAACTACTCTGATAGCTGAGGTGTCTTTTCCAGTCAACTATTTGCCAGCAAAGCCCACAAAGCCACTGCACAAACGTGTTTGTAACTGTCGCGAGCTGATGGCTGGTATGTGTGAGTGTAGAGTGACATGCAACTCTTTAGTGGATATTATGTCTGACACTGAAGCCCTGTGCTGAACAAAGGGAGCGTGTCCAAACGAAGCCCGTGTCGATCGTTCTTCAGAATATCACGTGAACAAAGATAAACAGGGCTCTGAAATGACATGACTGTTAATGCCTCATTATGTGATTTGAGCCTTTGAAGCATTGCAGGAAAGACAAAACATTTGGTCAAACCCAGGACCATGAGATTGGAACGGGTTCTTGATTTTTCAAAATAGGCACCCAAAGAGGAAAGAATTAAGGGAAGATAATATTCCACAACATCTCTAAGTGAGCAAAGCAGGTTATGAGTAAAAGAAGAGTACATTTTGTGATTGTGCACTTTTTTCCTTCATAATTGTGGTTCATGGTGTGGGTTTTAGATAGATTAAAACAATAAAATATCTGGCATTGATTCTTTATATGGGAAAATACATTTAGTAAAAGGTAATTTGTCTTACCTGTGAAGATCCAAATATAATCCATGCCATTCATGTCTCCTTGAAATGTCAAATCGATTATGAAATTGAACAAATGACATTAATTGCTCGTATACACCAGCTGGCAAGTAGAGGACTTACTTTCTCCGTAGTTTTCTTCAGAGTACTACAAATAACATACTGGATTTAGTCTGGTAAAGGAGAACATATGGAACTTTAATGAGTGTTCGTCAATGTTTGCATGAAGGAAGACACACCCAAATTTGGGTCATCCAAACAACTTAATTTGCACTTTCTGTGAGTTTCCCGACACTGCCAGCCCCTTAAGTTTCTATGTTTTGCAAATGTTTTGCATTTGAACAGTCTCACATGTCAGAGCACTGACAAAGAGTCAGAGCACTATTGAGCTACTTGACCTAGCTGTCTTAGCTAATTTTAGACTGATTTTTAGTCAGGATTCAGAATTCATCAAAGTACAATACAGGTGGTGGTGTGAGTGGATTCCACTTTGTTAATGTTGACAAGGCCACTCAACCAAATATAATTTTGGCTGTTCATTACACTTTGCCGAAAGCTTCTTGGGCCACAGCTTTGGAAGCTGCCTCATCCAGCAGCTTTCGTAATATTTACCATGAAGCCAGGAAATGGCCAGTGCACGTGTTTTAATAGGACTCTCCTCAGTTTGCTGCATGCTCTGTCGTGTTCAGAGAGACTAGAATTCATCTCGGCCCCAGCTATGCTCGTTATAATACCACTCTTATGCAGGCCAGTGTATGTTCTTTTGCGTCAACCCCATTGCAAGAGATGTTCATGTGGAGATTCAGGAGCACCAAATCCCACTGCACGTTATGTTTCAAGGAATTAGGGAATGACTGCTGACCACAGAAAAAAGAATTTTGACCAGTTAGAGATGCACCACTGAAAGATGGCTAATTAGTATTTCTGCACAGCATGGCTGGGAGGAGTATGAGAGATCTGGGTATATAGAGTCCAGAAAGCACCTAAAGAGAGTGGGGCAGTATATACACTTGCATCTTCAGATAGCCATAGCAAAGTAAACCATGTTCATTGTAGCTTTCTAAAGGATGTAACATGATAAATCGTTATATAATACTTTTCCTATATTATGTTACACATTACGCTGAGAGTCGTTCTGTTGCTGAGTTGGAGTCATCCTGTTATCTCTTACTACCTCAACTGCTTCAATGACGGGAACACAAGTGAGGAGAGATGTTACATCATACGAAACCATCTGCCTCCATAATGACGTCTCTCGCCTTCTCAGAAAAATCCAGAAATGTGGTGTTTAGAGCTGACTACCAACAGGTTGAGGATCAAAGCCAGAAACTTTGAGATGTTATAGATGACCAAGTTGATCAAATAAACAATATGATCTTACAGGTACACACCTTGTACCTGTTCTCAGTATCTTCAGTAAACCATACAGAATTGGTGTAGTTTCCCCTGGTTATAGCCTGTGGCATGAGGTCCGGTTAATAGCATCGTCCTGTTTCAGACAATCTTCCTGTAACTACTTCCTGGGTCTCGTTTCAGGGGCTCATAATTTTCCCATGATAGTCTTTCTGGTTTAGCAAAACTGCGCACCAACCCTTGTCTGACAGAAGGACGACAATGTTGTTGTCTTTACTAAGCAATGTGAGGGCCGGGGGCTTTGCATTGCTGCGATAGGCCAAAACTTCCACATCTGCTTTCACATCTGCACTGTTTTTTTTTTAATTGCTGATTTTGTGGCTGTGATCATTTCCACTCGTGAGATTTTTCTCAGTGTTCAGTCATTTTGCGAGAATGTTGTTCACTGCTTGAGTGACTTGTCTGCCAGAAACATGCTCATGTATCCACATCCTCAGTGTGGCATCTTTCTCTCATCTAGCGGCTGTGAATAATACGCTTTGTGTTTTGCTGATGTCAACAAGTAAGTCAAACTTGCTTTGTTGCCTGGTCTTAGACTGTTCATGCTGTGCTGGATGAGCCTTTTCAATGAATTCAAACACTATTTGAAGGGTATTCTCATCTAGGCTCACTGTAAGTCTCAATCGGAGCCGCTTTCGAATTTAACACATCGATGGTAAAATTTGTTTGTCTCACCTGTTCATTGAGCAGCTGGCTCTGTGCCTTCTGGAAGATTTTTGTTGTGGTTTCTGTAGTCAGCGCTCTTATGTTAAGTTTGCTCACATACTTGGTTGAGGCAGTCCTTCCCAAAGTTGGTTAAAATGCATGCTCAATGATCCAGGTAAGGAAATCCTAAAAAGTTGATTCTGTTCAAGTGAACATTGCGTTTTCAGTGGAACAAATATTCTGTCATTCATCCAAGTGACTTCTTCAACCTAAGCTTCCTGCAGGTTTCCCCAACCTTATAAACAGTACATCTGCAAAATGACTGAAGCTACACTGATTAACAATGGGCCGTGGTGTCACCAACAAACTAAGCCCAAATCATCACCCGTGCTTGAAAGTTGGTATGAGATGTTTGTCTTGATATGCTGTGTTAGTTTTCTCCAAATATAGCAGTGCATTATGGCCAGACATCTCCACTTTGTTCTCATCTGTCCAAAGGACATTGTTCCAGAAGTCATGTTCCTTTTAGAGGAAAGAGGAATTCAATTGAATTCAACGGAGGGTGAAATTAATGTGGCAACAAAACAGACTGAGGGGTATTATTAGCAAGTGCCAGTAGCCCTTGGTTAAATCTAACATCGGTGCCTAACCGGTCCAGCAGCTCATCGACCCGGTACATGGGGTAAGCATCAAACTGTGACACTTCATTCATCTTGCAGTAGTCAACATAGAACCGTTTAGACCCTTCTTCACCACAAGAACTACGGCGCTGCATCAGGCGCTGTGCGACTCTTTGCCATCATTGCTGGTGTTGCATAATGGGGCACAAGATGACCTCTCTTGACAGTTCTAATAAATATGAAAACATTCTTCTCCACAACAGAAACCTGTAACAGAAACCTTGAAAAAAGGTGGGTAGGGCTAAAAAGAAATATAAAATAATATCTACAGCTCACATCTGACAGTCAAACAATTAGAACTGTTAATGGTAAAACACTCCCCCTAGTGGTCAAAGTTCCAGTTAAACTTCTGTATAGAACAGGGGTCGGCAACCTGCGGCTCTTTTGTCCTTATACTTCAGTATTTAGCTAAAGTGTATTTTATTTGTCTTTAGTTCTTTTTTTAACTTGTAGTTCTAGAAGATTATTGTGATATTAAAATATAAAATAATACTATTTTATTATTTTTCATCGCTCAAAATAAGCGTCACACTGGCGGAAGCCGCTGTACCCGCCGAAACGCCGTGCATTTATCGAGACTTTCAACCCCAGGTAGGCCAATTATGGATCTTTGGATCCACATTATGTCAGCAGCTCCACCGTGAACTGTTACAAACAAACAGCGCTCACGCCTCACAGACGACAGCTTACAGTCCTGCGTAAACTGACTTCGTACAGCCCCGACCTGCAGACGCTGTGCGCAGAGGTTCAGGAGCAGAAGTCTTATTGTAAACATATCACGGCAGACCCCACGATGTTTGCATGAACACGCTTTTCAGCATCTCTTTATTGACCACTTTTCACACACGGTTGCTGTACGCACACAGCCGGCTGTAGCTTTGCAGCTCACAGCCCGACACACACCAACACAACAGCAGAGAGAGCACAGACTTTCAGGCGGCGAGGCGTGATTGCGGGAGACGCCTCCCCTGCAGCGGCGCTGCAGACCACGCCCCGCCACACACATTAACCAGGTAAAATACATATTTAGGCAGAATTTTGCAAATATCTATTTTTCATTTTTTATCAGCATAGTGCTTTTTTTCCAAAATATTTTTAAAAGTCAGGTCAAAGCTCCAAAAGCACAAAGGCGATATAAGGGTGGCGACGCAGTTTTTGTTTGCTGGATCATTTTAGTTCAGCTGGGCGTCTTTCCTTTTGTTATATTTCTTTAAGAGTTCAAAATGTGTTCATTACATAAATAAAATGTAATTTTCTCTGTAGCACTTCATGGATTTCATAAGCAACACACCTTTGTTGTTCATACAAAGCATAAAGGTGAAAAACAATATACAGTGTTATCTTCATTTTAGATGTCAGAAAGTATTTGCGGCTCAGTGTTTTCTTTTGTGTGGAAACCGGCTCCAAATGGCTCTTTGGGTGTTAAAGGTTGCTGACCCCTGACAGGCCTATTACTTAAGGAACCTTTGAAATATGTTTTTCACAGTATATTTTAACCAAAGTATGATATTGTATGAATAAACTTTACACAGGTGGCTTTCGTTTCTCCTGGAAACATTTTAATAGAACATGGTTACTTTTACTGGGTAGTTAAAATTATCCCCATTCTTAAGTATGAACTTAAGGTCAGTGGTTACTGTATCTTTTAGCCAGACCGCTTTAAAAATTACATGAGAGCAAGTTTACTGTAGCTCAAAAGTCCAAGTCTGGCTTTTCAGTCCCAGCTTTGTTTCATCTGACCAGAAAAAGGATTTGCAAACACTCATTGCTTTTGCAGCCCTACCTGTCAGAATTCATCCACCCAGCAACTTTAAGTAAAAGCACAATCACAAGTAACAAAGTCTCATTGCTTTCAGCCATGCAACTGCAGGTCTGCACTGAGGTGGAAGTGTACCAAAATGTTGTCAGCAAGTGTCAGTTTACATGACTTCACTGTGCAAAACTCCAACACTCACATTCTGATTTAAAAACTTATTTGTACCCCAAGTCACTGAAGTGATTCGTGAGTGAGTCACAGATGCAGACAGACCAAAGATCCAGCTCAAAAGGTTTATTCAGATGAACAGATCAGAAACATTTCCAAATGTCAGACAGCTTAGAAGCAGAGCCATACCCTGATAACATCCATCGCTCCATGTGACATTTCACACAAACACCACAACATACAAGAACTGATGCCAGCTTTAAAGTGAGGAAATCAGGAAAGAAATCAGCTGGAGCAGAAGTGAGTTTACTTCAAAGCCTGTGTTGTTAACATGCTGACTCCAGGCTCACTTCTACGTCTCAGCATTTAGCTCTTGTCACCCAGAGTGTGCTTGTCAAACAGGTACTCTGCCATCTTGTTGTTGTGGGCATCCATGCGGGTGAGGTTAGTGATGTGGTCACCCAGCTTCTTGATGGACTTCACCTGTTCATCCAGGTAGTGGCTCTCCAGGAAGTCACACAGCTGGGAAAACAAACTACAGTTAACATTTGATGATTTGTCAAACATACACAGCATCAACTAGTTCAGTCTTTAACCCCAAACTCTTCCCTCCAACTCCCACTTACATGAGGGTCATTATGCTGAGAAGCCAGCTTGTGCAGGTCCAGCAGAGCCTGGTTGACATTCTTCTCCAGCTGCAGAGCACACTGCATGGCCTCCAGCCCGCTGCCCCACTCGTCACGCTCTGGTTTCTGCACAACAAACAATTCTGTTAGAGACTGAACACTTGTTTTAAGCTCTGTGTACACATTACACACTAATGCAACAACAGGAAGAGAACAAGTGTCATAACACTGCTCATTAATCCCAGTTTCTGTGTCAGACACAGTCAGGTATGTCACAGCAGGACTGGTTCAGTTTGTACACACCTTGATGTCCTGGAGTAAGACGCGACCTCCTCTCTTGTTCTGGAAGGACAGCAGCTTGTCAGCGTGCTCCCTCTCCTCATGGCTGTTCTCCTTGAAGAAGTGGGAGAAGCCTGGCAGGGCCACATCATCACGGTCAAAGTAGAAGGCCTGACAAATCAGACACAGGTTATTAGTACACAGCACCAATTCTTCTGCAAATACAGCATCGTGACAAACAGTTATGGAGACAGAAATGATTCATGATGGACAGTTCAGCTGGTTTAGACCGAGGTAACTGCTGAACTCGAGACTAAAGAAAAGCCAAACGAAGCACGACGCAGCATTTGGGTTTTTCGGTGATGTGTTTGGGGTGAAAATACACTCCGCATCTGGCAACCTGCCCAACTGTGATAAACAACCAACAAACGAGCTGCGACTGAAATCATGTATTACTGAAATTAGCAACAACATACCGGACTTTACATTTAACGACTCTACTCCGTTCCCTTTGTCTAGCATTAAGCTAATATAGCTTGAGACTAAGGTCATTATAGACATCAGCATCACATGACGTGTTCTCACCATAGAAGTGTAGGTGTAAGACGCAAACAGCTCCATGTTCACCATCCGGTTGATGGCGGCCTCGCAGTCGCGGTGGTAGTTCTGACGCACTTGGGACTCCATTTCGGCTGGCGTTTCTTGTGCTTTTTATTAACAAAAACGGTGCAAAAATAAAGCTTCACGTTGAAGTTATCTGTAGCTGAAATACAAAGCGGGACGAAGTCAAGAAGTTCCGTTCAAACACTGTTGAAGCAAAAACTCCTCAAAGATTCCTCCCCTGGTGTGAAACGGCACACTCACGGTGTTTATACTCCACGGAGGAGCTCGTGCAAGATGTGACGTATGTTTCCACCAATCACTGAGCCGGGGCGTCTGTACCAGCTGTGACTCACAGGATGAAGTTGCATTTTTTTTCTCCTCCTGATTCGTAGAAAACTCCGCAGTAACTTTAATGTTTAATGTGACCTGCTGGGAGATAGTCAGGTGCAATGACAAAGCATTTTCCGTAGTTCAACAGGTAACAAGCAAAATATGTAAATTATATAACGATTAATCTCCAGATACTTGTAGATGTAGACTTCCAAATGGAACGATATCTAGTCATTTGTTCAATACGTACAGTACTGTGCAAAAGTCTTGAGCCAAACCACATTTATTTTGTTGTCAAGAAGCCAGAATGTCCTGTATTGTTTAAAGCAGTGGTTCCGAAACTAGGGTACGCGTACCCTCGGGGGCACGCAAGTGGCTGTAGGGTGTACACGAGGGTTGAGGTTGGAGTGGCGATCACGAATTTAAAAAGCCTAAATTTGCTTTAATACAGTTTGCTGTGGTTATTAAATGACTATATACCACCCTCTGGTGTTCAGCAAAAACATTACACTGACAAAATAAATGGGCGTGACTTGCCCGATTGACTGAGGCCTGACAGTCAAAGTTGCCTCCAAGCATTCAGTGCAGCGCAGAAATGGACAAATGGTTAACAAGAAGAAGGAAAAAAACGCCCTACCACCAAAACACCGGCCACTAAAACCAATCAGCTCATATCTGAAGATGCATTTGCCAGTGACCGCACAGGTGATTGTTCAACAACAATGGTCAGATTGGGGTTCTAGCACAGATGCATCTGTGGTTACTAGCCAAGTGGCTAGCATAGCTGGAGACAGTCGTGGAGAAAGTGATTAAGGGTCTGATGCAGAGCGTCAAAGTGGGAGAAAGCATATCACCTCGGACTGTAACACACCCTCATCAAAGAAGCGCAAATATGATGACAATTATATTTTGCGGGGATTTACGTGTATAAATATTGGTGGATATTACCGGCCACAATGTGTTAATTGTGCAAAAGTATTGTCTAACAACTCAATGAAACCTTCACTATTGTGCAGACATTTAGAGACAAATCATCCCCATTTGAAAAATAAACCAAGAGAATATATTGAGCGACAGCTAAAATCACTTTCAACAAGTAAAACTTGCATTCGAATGCCAAATCCTATGAAGAAAAACAGACTACAAGCATCTTACATGGTCAGTTACAGAGTGGCTAAAACCAACTTGGAGGACCTCGTTCTCCCTGCTGCTTTAGATATGGTAGGGACAATGGAAAAGGCAAAAAAGACGATACAGTCCATTCCATCAG